AGCCTGTTAAGGTTTCTAGTAGGTCCCTGGCCCAATATTATTAGAAAATACTTGTAAATATTAACTAAGCTGTACATAGGGGAAAAAATTTAAAAAAAAAACTATCTTGTCAAAAGTATAAAAATAAATATACATACAAAAATATGGTATTTCACAAGTTATGAGGGACAAGTTTTCAAAAGCAATCGCAGCTGTCGTAAAGAAAACAAATCTGGATTACAAAAATCAATGTTTAGAGAGTAAATATTAAAACAAAAGTATTTTAACTGGAGCGAGCTTCTACAGTATAGCAATTGCGACGCCCTATATACATGATATTTGGACTTTAAATTGCCGGGTTCTACTCGCTAACAAATACATACTGAAGTGTTTATCTGAAGTTTTTATCTGATAAAAATCTGGCATTTTTATTGCCGGAACGAAGAATTTGATAAATAAAAACAAATCTCTAGTTGCAAAAGACAGATGCAATAAATCACGTTTCATTCATTTCGAAGAATACCTGCATTAAAGACATTAAAGAATTTGTCAAGTTATTTACGTTCTGTGATCCATGCATGAAAACTGCTTTTTGTGTATAAAGATAACAAAACAAAATACAAACATTCAATATGTTTCAATTAGCCACGTCAGAAGTATTTGAAGAAATTAAGAATTTACGAAATTAAAAAATGAACTCGGCCACTTGAAAGAGCACCTCAAAACAACAGATGCGTTATTCAACTTACAGTCTAGGTACATACTTTTTAATGGGACCGGCTAAACGGAGAGTTATGAAGTGGAGAGTTATCTCGGAGAGTTATGATTTCGGAGAGTTATGTTCGAACCACGCCCACTTTTCCCAACGACCACACCCAATTTCTTAACTCTCCCGATGTTTCCTTGAACTAACATGAGAGAGTTATGTTTGACGTAACTCTCTCTCGTTAACATTATGAAGATGTTAGAGAGTTATCATTTTTTATAACTCACTGCGTTCACGATTGTGGCAATGAAGAGAGTTATGTCAGTTTTTTGAAAAAAACTTCCACATTTTAGTAAGTTATTGTGAATTTACTTTTTTCTCAAGTTTCAGCTTTAATATTCCACGCTAGTAGAAACTAGTAGTACTTTAGTACTTACCAAGTGAAGCGAGTACGAGTAAATAAATTATTATACATGCTCACTTGGATTACCTACAAAGCCCAACATTCAGATACAGCTCTCGTATTAGATAGAACCAGAAAACCTTTCCAATGTAATGCCCTATATTGGCTGATATGGGAAAATATTTGCAAAACCTGAATTTCTGAAAGATTCAATTTTCGCAATTTTTTCAATTTTCTTGCAACTATGCTTACCGTATTTACTGCCAAATACACGTCAAAACATGCTTCTGGGGGTACTTAGACCTTTCTGCAGCAAGCATCTCATTGTTTTGACCGAGTCAAAAGTTGTACTATTTCCTGTTTGGACGCACGCTATTGACACGCTACAATTAACTGAAATACCAAAATATAAGATGAAAATCTGAAGAAACAAGCTTTACTATTTAAAGGTTTTCTCAAAAAACTGACATAACTCTCTTCATTGCCACAATCGTGAACGCGGAGAGTTACAGTATAAAAAATGATAACTGTTTGACATCTTCATAATGTTAACGAGAGAGAGTTACGTCAAACATAACTCTCTCATGTTACTTCAAGGAAATGTCGGGAGAGTTACGAAATTGGGTGTGGGCATTGGGGAAAGTGGGCGTGGTTTGGGCGTGGTTTGAACATAACTCTCCGAAATCATAACTCTCCGAGATAACTCTCCGGTTGGTAACTCTCCCTTTAGTCATACCCCTTTTTAATTAACAGTGCAGTTAATACAAATACAAAAGCGAGGCAAATGCTACAAACATTTCGAAAGAACATAGCGTCCAGGCGTGACTTCACGATGAAGAAGTGTTCTCCGACTTATCTCAATTGCTATCTTGTCTAATGTCTAATACTAAGAATAAATAAAAAATCTAAAACAGGTCAGATTCATTTTAGACCAGAGAACCATATTTTAATTCTATTGACAATCGTTGCTATGAGGTTATTTGCTCTGGAGATTTGGATTAGTAAATATTAAATTCAAAAGACAATTTCCTTTAAACAAGTTATCCGGTTTCGTTGTAAACAGATCACGTATTTGATGTGAACAATAAAATATCAATTTATGTCTTTGCCCTCCTGCTTTTCATTAGGTGTTGCATTTAACGAGCTCAGTTTACTGGCAAAACAAAACACTCGACTTGGGATAATTTGGCTGTGAAATTGATTCACAGCCGCTTTATTTAAAATCTCGTCATTTAATTAGAAATATCATAAAATTATTAAAATTGATAATTTGAGTTAATAATTTGAGTCTGTTAATGTTCATTGCCAGTAAAGGTGGCAGGACTACACGCCAATTAGGCAAAAAAGGTATAATAATGATATGTACAAGAAAAAACAACAAACTAAAATACAAAGCGGCAGGCCAGCGGGAGGAGGTGGGAAGAAAATTCGTATGTCTTCACTCGATCACGAGAAAGGTTGAATTGAGAAGTGAATAACTTTGCTTTGCTTTTAGTAGCTAAAATTTGGCCTTGACTTTATGTTTCTTACGTAGGTAAAAGCACCGGAATTTCCTTCTCCGCCAAGTCCCACCTTAATCTGCCACAATCCAATCTAACTATTTCCTACTTTATCTTATCACTATAATTCAGGCTTGACATAAAAAAACATATTTCCGTAGGAAATATTTTTATTTACTTTTAACAATATCATGCAGCGTTGCAATGAGAACATGGCAAAATCATAATAGATCACGTATTTGATGTGAACAACAAATTAGATTACAGCAGGTCAGATTACAGCTTTTCTACCAGATCATGGCCATCATAAATTAAAAAAACGCAGCTGAATTCCGAGCAGAGCGGAAAATTTAGTAAAGTTTAGATAAATTTTATACGTTAGAAAACGATTCACGGATGATTCTATTTCAAATGCGTAGTGTATTGGTTCCCTGTATCGGGTGTCCAAAAAAGTACTCCGGTTTAATTCCTAATAACTTTAACGAGAGTGAAGCTATTACACTTAAATAAATTTTATTAGATAGAGAAATGATGAACTTAGATTTTGAAATATCACAGTTGCATAGTTATAAAAAATTGACCGAGATATTAATGTTCCCGTTCGGTAGCATATTTCTGGATTCGGATGTGTGAAATATTTGCGAAAAGCGGCGTTTCAAATATTAACCATGCGTTGCTCAAACACCTTCACAAATTCAAACTTTAGTACCTCGGTAAACTATGAACGATAATTTATAGGCACATTAAATCTGCTTATGATTGTGTTGACTTAAAGGACATTGGCAAACAAAATTTTTATTACTTATATCTATTAGGTATACTTACGGAACATTTAATTTCATATTTTGGCCGGTTTGTCGCGTTTAGTTGTTGAGAAAATTTGATTGAATTTGAGAAAAATTGAACAGTTGTCCGCCATTTCGAAAATAAGCGCGTATGCTAATTTATGCTACAAAATACATTATCTGACGTCATTGGCTGGATAAACACAATCTCATGACTACCAACAATATTGTGTATTACCACGCGTAGTGCATTTTGAGCCAAAACAAAAGGAAGAAAAGTGTTACCAAGTATGTAACTTGTTTGTAACACTATTTCTCATAGTATATATCCTACTCCGTGTTAAATAAGCGCAGAAAGTCGAGTGTAACAAGGCAAATCTAATGCAATATTTTATACTGATCAATTACGGAATTATCTGTATTGTAAATTGCGCCATTCATTGCTTTCCCAGTCGCTCGATATGTTTTTGTCTGATAGTGTAGACATCTCTTGTTTGATTGAGAAGAGTGTTGGCCAGTATAACGCTCAAAACGACATATTTTTAGCTAACATAACACGCACGCAATAGAATTCTCTCTTGTAGTTTTGGTGCTACCCAGCCAATGACGTCACAAAGTTCATTGACCTTCGAGATAATTTTTCAAAATTTTTTTTATCTTTATATAAAAATCTTTATATATAGTATGCATATCAATGGTCTTTTGTTAAAGTGTTCTTTAGCTGGTATAAAGATAATAATGTGCACGTGACTCTAATTTCTAACTCAAGGTTGGATAATTGCTTCATGAATTATTAATGAGTTTTTGAAATATATTTCAAACACTCATTAATAATGATTCATAAGCTAATTGGCAAATCATGTCAACCATAATATATCACGTGCAGTGGCTTTAAACCTAATAAAACACTCCTAATTAGTATTCTTTATTATAAAGAATACTAATAAAGCAGTATCTATTGTGGTCGTGTCCTCATTAGTATGCTTTATATAAAGAATACTAATAAAGCAGTATTTTTATTGAATTTGTATAGTTGTATTTGAAGCCGTTTAATAAACTCGCAGGACGTGTTTTATTAAGTCTAAAGCCACTCGCGCTGCCCGCTCGTTGCTTTAAACCTAATAAAACACTCCTGCTCGTTTATTAAACAGTACATAAAATGTATATTTAATAAAAAAAATTAACTTAATTTTGACGCCCGTTCGTTTGCAGCGCGGGTGAGGCTGGGGGGGGAGGCTAGGGTGTTGAGGGGGTTTTTGTCCTTAAAAAGAGCGAAAGAAGCAAAAGGTGTGTTAATGTGTTAACAAGAATAATAAAAAATAAGTGAAGTGTACGACAATCTGAATTACTTTCTGAAAGAGAAGGGTTTTGTGTACAAGTTAGAGGCCCCCATATACAGATTTCATATCGACGTGTTGAATCTCAAAAGATGTAGCTATTGCAAAAATAACATATTGTAGTCACATGTTTCCGTCTCGATGTTCTTTGTTTTCTTTTTTCGTATCATAAACAAACTACACTGTATACTTGGATTTGATGAAATTTGTCTAAGTATACGTAGGCACACGCCTATATATTGACTCTCTATAATAAATAATTTATTAACTATTTATAATTTAAGGAAACAAATAAAAAAGCGTATAATTTCAGGTTACATAGAAAAGATGGATCTTATAAGTAGAAAATCTATGTGACGTACAGAGAAATAAACAGCGTCATAAAAACAACGAGTGTCGTGGTTAATTAAAAAAATTTGGTGTTACGCAAAACAAACTCGAACCGTCTCTGTACTTGATTTATGTACGTCATAACCGTCCCATTATCACGTGCTTGACTTCCATTCTTCATATTCTTCTTTCCTGCTTTAAGCACTCATTAGGGCCATTTATACGGGACAAAATAAGACGCGACTTACATAAGACGCGACTTCTTCGAATTCTTATGTAAGACGCGTCTTGGATAAGACGCGTCTTACATAAGAACAGGACTTTTAGCTGTTCTTACTTAAGTCGCGTCTTAAATAAGAAATTTTAGTCAAAAATTCTAACTACACATGCCCGAAACTTGAAACAACGTAAAATTATTAGCCTTGCATATTGGAACAAAAACAACCGAAACAACATTATAGCTATAGCAATTAAGTAAATAAGAATAAATCCGTAGAGAACCATTTATGCGATAACTAAGCTTATATAAGACGCGTCTTATGTAAGACGCGACTTATTTATTACTTATGTAATTAAGCTTCTCCAGCTATCTAACGTAGTCGTGGATATATGTGAGCGAATAGTTTAGGAAGACGAATGTTAATTTCGAAAAATTAATTCGGAAATTAAGAATTACTAACAAACTAATTTTTGACACTTCTGCGTATCTTTTTCCCAACTATATATTAATGACAAATAGAAAACGATTGCGTAGGCATTAGAATGCTGGATTTGCAACGGATGATGGTTGCAGTTGTCTACTAGATACATAACTTGAATATTTTCATCATTATATTTCCAGAAATATAAAGATGGTTCCGAAAAAAATTTTCTTGTTGATTCTGATACTGTTACCACTGGCGATATCAATGCCTTCTGAGTTACGCCGGTTGAGGCGATCTGTAGGCAGTTACCAAGTGGAGGGGTGCTTTTCGTCTTTTAATGGATCAGGTTTCACCAAACAACTGGGGGATCATAACTCAAACGTCAGGTGTCAAGATACGTGCCGAGACAAAGGTTATATTCTGGCTGCAACAAAAGGAGGTGAATGTCATTGTGGGAATATCTATCCAAAAGGCAGCAAAGTGGATAACAGCCAATGCTCGAGCAAATGTAGGCCTTACACCCCATGCCATGAACCCCAGAGTTGCTGCGGAGGACCAAGTGCATATTCTGTAAGTGTTGTTGGAAATATTGATGTAGCAAAACAAGTTCTTCGACGGCTCAGTTACGAATGGCAGACAAACGACGATTATCGTAATCATCTCAAAACACTTGTCACAATTCCAAGTCCTCAAACCGAACAAGCCAATTGGGAAGAATCATTTGATCGCGAAGGATGGTCGTCATGTGGAAATGGCAAGTATATGACAGGATTATACAGACATAAGTTTAAGTCCGGCGATGAAAGAATCGGACGAATTGAGTTCGCCGAATGTCGTGACGCTCCGAGTAATCTGTATCCAATAAAGGAAGATTTGGATTGTTACAACCATAACTGGTGGACAAGTTTTGATAGCGCTGGCTGGTCGAAGTGTAACACCGGATACTACATGACAGGTATTTACAACACAAATGGAGCAGAATTATACCATATCGAAGAAGCAAAATGTTGCCGACCTAAATCTCAAGTAAAGCTATGGGGAAAATGTTACACTCTTGATGTCTGGACTTCGTTTGATCGAGAAGGTTGGAGCAAATGTCGAAGTGGTTACTACATGGCGGGACTTTACAGAAATAATTGCGAGAGACTTGGTTGTATCGAAAATTTTTTCTGCTGCGAGATGGGAGCGTACAACGGAGATTCATGGATTGAAAGGCCAGATCTATTTATAAAAGTGAAAGATGCAGCAGGACAATTGAAGCACTGCTCAATGAACGCGATGGATATGTCGCCATCCAGCGAAACGTACGAATGCAAGTCCGCATCTGATCTCACTAACATGTTGACACTTAATGCACTGAAGTTCATAATCGAAGACGAGACGCCACTTAACGTTGCCAAGCCTGAACCAGTTGCAGGTTTTCGTCCTGTCATTTGCTCATCGCACACAAATTCATACAAGTGCTCAAAATGGCTAACCACGTCAATTTCCACTTCATCCAGCTTCAGTATTGGCACTGGGTTCACTTTGGCGGTAAAAGTTGGGGCATCTGTGGAACTTGAAGCCAAATTTTTTGGTTCCGGAACCAAAACAACCTTTTCAACCGAAATAGCAGCTTCAACATCTTTCAACGTGGAATCTAGTAGATCAAATACATATACTACAACGGACAGGACGGACGTTTCAGTTCAAGTGCCAGCAAACACCGAAGTTACGATCAATCTTCTGCGAACTGTTCAGAACTTGGTATACAAATGGAAAGCGGATTTTCAGATGTTGGGAAAGTATTCTCTAAAATGGAAAAATGAGCAGGAATTCTTCCAAGATGTGACGACGGTGCTAACCGGACCAAAGAGGGAAATATATGCATTTGGAAGTTGGAATTATCCAGACACCGACGTTCTCAGGGTGGTAATCACTGACAAGTATGGAAATGAGATGCGTTCGGGATGTGAGCATAACGCTGGTGAGACAGTAACAGATTGTGAGCCATAAAGAATGAAAAAAACTTAATCGTAACATTTATTATTCAATTTATTCTCTGATATATGGATTGTTTTTCAAGAACGTGTCATAAGTGACCAACTACTTTACTTAGTTTGATTATTATAATTTGATTGGCACTTATTAAAGTTGGACAATGTCCAAAAATTGAAGTTTTATATTTTCAATATACAGCCAGACATATATTCCATCGAAAATTAAGGCTACTCTTATTTGAAGTTTTGCATTTGATTGAAATATCTAGGCTATATATCGTGAGGGTTTATGTTGTTTATATACCCATTACATTCATCCTTACTTTTTTTCAAGAGGTTTTCAGTGAAGTTTAGCTCAGGCATTAAAATAGCGTGTCCTTGTACACACTTTGTGTCCTTGTAAAAGGCGAATGTGCCCTTGTAAATTGAAAAGTGTGCACTTGAAAATATATTAAACTGAAAATATATTAATGTAATCCACGCAAAATGTCCAAAGATTTTGCAAATTCTGTTCTCAGAACTCTGGAAATGCCATTTCAGCGACCCCCCGTAAAAGCACGCGTCTTTGACGCTAAACTTGTGGCTTCGCCATTTATACAAAAAAAAATACGCCTCTGAAGGCAAAGTGTGTCCTTGTAAAAATTCCGTATTTTAATGCCTGGTTTAGCTTTGTTATTTAATTAAGACTAGCATGTCATTACATATAGCTAGAGCTTAGCGTTTGAAAGTAGTTACACCTGAGTGGATGATGTCGATGATAGCTAGCCTGTTTTGTTCCGCAGTCTTTTGGGAAAAACATTGTATAGCTATATACATTGTATTTAGCTGTTAAGCTAAATTTCCTTTTTATAAATGAATTATATGGATAGATAGAAAAGACGGATGGATATATGCGATATACTTTGCGCGTTGATGCCATAATAGTCATTATATAGAGATCAATACTTGTTTTACAGTTTAACTTCTAATGGTTGTGTATACGGCAAGAATAATCGTGCCTGGAACTGACTGAAGTTACGTTGGCTGTTCATGTTTTGTTTACGTGGTCTGGTAATTTCTGAAATAAAAATTCCTTCTGCTAGCTGCATGGTAGATTTCCGTAAGTTGTTTTTGTCATAGAAACTAATAAGATACTTTCGACTATATAAAGTTTTTAATAATTAATAACGCCGAAGTGATGAGCCGAAGTTCTATATCAGGTCTATATCGGCGATATTGCCAATTTGTGTATTGGCTTGCTCTTGTTATTCTCGTTGTGATTTTCAATTTTTTGTTGTATTTTACAAACGTTGCTTCCGACTTATCTTACTTTTTTCATCCTTTTCCTAATGCTATTGCAATATGCGCGGTTCGATTTGCTTTTAAAGACCTGTAGCTATATAGTCGAGTTTCATCCCATTAATTGTGTTATCGGCCGCTGAGTATGAACCGATCGATCTAAATATGCTGGAAGTGCGACCAGAGTTGAACATAATGGTTTTTGAGACTTTCTCTGTTGGAAATGTTTATTTATTACAAGATTTCGGCTGCCAGACTGCAGCCTTCAACAGGTAGCTATAAAATATAATGATACAGACGAATACAGTTTTCAAGGTATACGCCTATGTTTTACACCTACGGTTAACAATTACAGTGACAAACAAATAACTGGAAGTGATATTTCCTCCTATGTGTTACTGTGTGAACTCTGATGATGTTCTATTTCTTTAATAAAACCGGTATTGTCCTGGTAAATGTTTCGAATTATTGTCAGCGTTAGCTGTGAGCGTGGTGTGCCAGGATTCCAATGTAGCTTTGTGGCGGTAGTTTGCCTTGTCAAATACCTTGCTATTGTTGAAATCAATTTTATTGTCGTAAGACCAAGCATGATTCGCAATATTTGTACCCGCTTTATGTTTCTCGGCATTCTTCACGTGTTCTTTTTCCGTGTGATGAACGCTCGACCCGTCTCACCAATGTATAGCTGGCCTAGAGGTGTGCAAATCCGATCCGAATCCGATACGATACGATCGGATTCGTTCGGATTTCGGAACAAAAATATACATTTCGGATCGGATTGATACAGTTGTTTTGTAGTCCGATCGGATCAGATCGGACTTCGATATTCGAAATAAAATGAATTAATTATCCACGCATTATCGCAAGAATTAATTGTCCATGCATTTATCAAAGCATTATCGCGGTTGTACTGTCGCTGCATTATTCGTTTGATATACTTCAATTGGACGTCACTTTGTCAGCTTCTTGACATGTATTTCTTGCTTTTATATTTATTTGAAAATCCTGGTTTCGCATCAAACATATTTAAATGTTTAGGTAGTACTTTGAACTTTTGCTGCACTTTTTAAAATGTTTGTACCTGTATCGCACAGGACATGCAACAAATTAAATATTGGGAGTAAAAATTTTGGCAGTATGGTGCAAGCAAGATTTATATAAATTACCTTAAAACAATGAATGCACTAGGTACAGTATAGTAATGGTTAACCCTTTGAGTTGCATTGCACCCTGATGCACCCTACTTTAGTATTTTACTCTGTCTAACGCCAGACAATTTTACTCGTCAAGGGGAGAGCGCTGGCGCTTAATGGGTTAAGGCATAAACAAAGACAATTATTTATATGACTACTGTAATAAAAAATAAATGAATGTAAAATTGCACCAAATCTTAATGGTATTGCGACAGTAAAATGCAACCTAGGTTTATCAGCGTTGACAAAGCATCAACATCAGTTTATTTAGCACTTCGGAAGCTATTATATCCTGTTTTTTGTGATTTAATAAGGTAATTACGTGCTGTTATCATTAAATATTAATGAGATTTCGTATACTTTTCTTACCTCAGGTGTGACAGTATCAACAGCACTGGTAGTTTCATAGTCATCAATATTTTGATCCAAATCGATGGAAGTGTCATCATGAACGTCTGGTTCGTCTACTTCAGCAGAAAAGGAAGCGCCAGTTACTTTCGATCTTCTTTTCTGCCTGTGTTTATCTTTCTTCTTGTACTTCAACTTTGGCAAATTATCCAAATCGTATCTCCTTTTTTTTTCTCCAAAAACCTTTACTTTAATGTTGTCAATGTTTACACATTGTGAGTTTTTGCCAGCCATGTTGTTTTCGGTATTTGGATGTCTCGTTACCAGACTCCAAGAATACTGACTCGGCCGTGGTTATTTCTGTGGTTATGAACACAAATTGTGACGCCTCAATACTGCGGATTCAGGTAGACCGTGAAATGCGAATAGTTGTCGCGTTAGTTTTAACAGTTGTACGATGACGTTTCTAGGCAGATTTTCGACGTTTCTAAGGCGTGGCTTCAACGTTTATTTTTAAAATTTGAACGTTGTAATTACAA